GAAGGCAGTCAAATGATTTTCAGCTATAAATCCAATCGGGAAGGCAGTCAAATGATTTTCTGAAATATATTGTGTTGTCTAACTGCGCAATTATCTTCAAAATTTCATTTGACTACATTCCCGATTGAATTTTTAGCTGAAATTTGGTATGGGAAAACTAGACTTAATGACGAAGATGCTTAAAAAAATTCATCAAAAAATTCCACCGGAAACCGCCCAAATGGCGACATCCGGACAAAACCTCCGGTAAAAAAACTTATTTGCACTTTTTTTAAAAGTTCGAGGACTTATTTGATAGTTCTCCCATATATATATATATATATATATATATATATATATATATATATATATATATATGGGATTTGGGCGGGAAAAATTGTAGCATAAAATAAAAGTAGGGGTGGGGAACGAAATAGTAGTAAAAGAGGAGTAATAATCATGATTAATTACAGCCCTTAATAATTAAATCCAACTATTACATTTTTCAAAAAGGTATATACGAAGTATGAAAAAACGTGGGGCACATTGCTCAACACCTGTACATTTAATGCTTGCAACCAAAATGTAGCATTTCATTTTCCAGCATAAAGCTACGAGAAACCTTCTACTACGTACTATAAATACTGATCCGTAAATAATTTTTCTGCTCCTTCAGAGACGTATAACAATGCTGGCCAACTGTTCTCCCACAACAAAGCTTGAGATTAACATTCTACACAAGTAACACAACCATCAACACCGTCCTCATACAAATATAGTTTCACCTTTTTACAACTTCATCTGTAGGTGCAGTCCAATGAGGTGGCTACAAAGAAGCAAACACTTGAAATATTATAATTTTTATTTTCAGATCTATGCACAAGACAAAATTATATTTTTATTGTTATCATAGTTGTTGTAATAAATATGATCTCTATACATGTTTGGTGTTTAGATGTCCCAACTTTTGGTTTGGTGATGTACATTACTTCTTCAGACAAGCATTGTGCATCAAGGTAAAGTAAGACTAATACATTTACAGTTAAAGAACTACTTTTATACGTAGTGATATCAACTGTTTGTTTGTTATTATCAAAGAGTCTTACGGTGTCTATTGCTTTCTTATCATCCAACACATATTGTTTTCATGGAAATTTTAGTTTAAACATACAAGAAACTTTAGTTTAAACATATAAGAAATTTTAGTAAAATCATTGAATCCAAAGTAATTGGGACTAAGAGAATTTGTTTCAGCTTCCGTTAAGAGAAACTTTTGCATGGGTTGTTTTTAAAAATATTCTTAGTTTTTCCAATGTACTTTTAAAAATTTATCTATTTGAAATATTCCCGAAATGTCTTAAACATAGTTATATTTGACTAACATGTTGTTCTGTTTCAAAATTTACCCTTAAGGGTTATTGTTAAGTACTTAAGTACTACGTAGTTACATACTAATTAAATGTACAGTTAGTGTTATTCCAAAAATGAATTATATTCAAAATTCACACAAAAATTGGTGATGATAAACAGGGGAAACTGATCAACTTAATTGATTAAAGCAAAGGACAATAAAAATTACCCATAACACCAACACTTGTGTTTAGACTATTTGTTCAACAACTTCCTTTATTCAAAGATGCTTACTTGTCCAAAATAAAAAATGTTAGCCATGTCAGATTAACTTGCCGCTAAAAAGCCTAATAATGATAGATTGATGATCATGTACATCTCTAAAACATTCTATCTATGATATATACGGAGTATAACATAATACTTAGCCTAATCTCCAGATTTTGTACAAAAATACTCCTTTATATTTTATCTTATGTTTTGCGTGTAGATATCTGATATATTGGTGATAATTATGTATGCATAGACCCATTATGATGCATTATTTGATTCAAAGAGGATTTAGTCTACTTCCATGAAAAAGCATCCAAAATATTCTTTGTGTTGTTTTAATATAGCAATGATCAGAAAATTTATCAACTCAAATCACACAAACAACAAAAGTAGGGAGAAGAGAATGTATTTGGTAACATAGTAGATTCACTCATTTCAATCTATTGCAAATGTAACTTGTTTTTAGATCGTTAAAAATACATTATTGATCTAATTTTATAAATAAATGTTGGCTTCTTCGTATATTTTTAAAAGAGCAATGTGATTTGTAGTACAAGATTTTAAATTAATCCTGATTGTTTTTTTCTTATGATTAAATAGACATATGTTGAATAAACATCCAAATGTAGTTGTATTTTGGAATGATAAATACATACGGAGTATATCAGTTGGTGTTTTGAGAAAAAAAAAATAGTACATAGTAACAACAATCAAAACCAATAAACTCTAAATAAATTGCCAAACTTTGTGTGGATAAATCTAACAAATACATCTAAATAAGGCCAATACTAAAAGAATTAGATAAGAATGTAAAATACAATAAACCTAAATGCATACAGAGGTGAATCGAAATCTTGATAAAAAAATAATATACGATAGTATTACTTTGCTTGAGTTTATTCCAAAAATTGTTCATATCTGATATAGATTGTACCTAAAACTCCAACTGAGTCATTCTTGAGAATTCACGTTCAAAATAAAAAAGAATTAAATTAGTTGTCCTCAGACTGATTTTAAGATATCAGGGATCAAATCTAACACCATATTCACGAAATACAAGCATGCACTTACTGATGACCTGCGTTGTTATTCGGTCTTTGCTGCTGTCCATTCTTTTTTATGCAGTAACTTTGTTCAATCGCTGAAATACGGCGGCTGCGGCACCGTGACGTTAGGCGGTGGAGATTGTTTGGGACTTGGGAGTGGCAAATTTCGGGCGACTATTGTGTCATTGACACTTTTGGTCAATATACTCCATGTCTACTCCATAAATTACTCAAAAATATCTCATTTAAACAAATACTCCATATAATTGAAGTTTGTGTCATGTTTGGTCCCCGCGCGACTATTGTGTCATTGACACTTTTTGTACTCGACTTTTAATTTTTGCAATTTTAGTCACTGTCTACTGTGCTTGGGATACTTTTAGTCCTGGACTTCGAAGTTTCACACAATTAGTCTCCTATGTATTATCAAATTGATATTTTAGTCCTTACACTCTGACTTTGACTCAATAAGTGAAGAACTAAAAATGTCATTATTATAATAGTTGAAGGATCAAAACTGTCATTTTTATGAAAGTTGGAGGATTAAATATGGAAATTTTCAAAGACGGGTATCAAAAGTGTTTCTATCGCAATAGTTGAGCATGTAAAATTTGTCATATAATAGTACCTACTATTTTTTTTTTGGCAAAAGATAATAGTACCAACTATAATAGTGCCTGCTACATAACTACACTTAAGAGTCATTTTTTGTAAAATGTTTTATTTAGATAAAAAACATGTAGTTTTTTCTAAAATAAGTTAAGTGTGAATTCAAAAGGGAAATTACTTTAAATAGGGCTAAAACGTTTTTGAAATAGGACTAACAACTGCCATGTTTTGGCAGTATCAGACTTTAAACATGGCGGTATTTTCTAATCTTAGTAGTAATTACTCCTGTGTTGGGGGAAACATGACAGACTTATTTTGTAATTTTCAAACTTTTTACTCCTATTTCGACAATTTTCCCAATTCAAAGTTGTTGAAATATACGACTTATTGTGATTGAGTGACTTAAATAATAAGTTTATTGACATCTATAAGAACACGGAGCATATAACATCTTATATTTAGCAAAAGATACATGGGTCTAATGATTCATAATAAGTGCATTAAAACTTACAAAATTATTAAAGTAGGATGTTACAAAAAATCACACTTTTTGTCTCTCAAATAATCATGATATTGAAATGTCAGACTCCCATTTATGAGATTGTAAATGTCACCCCCTCCTGAATTAACAAATGTGTTGTAAATGTCGTCATTCCGGTTAATTTATTGGTAGTCCAGATTTGAAGATGATTTATAAACGGCGTGGATGCCATTTACAACAAATCTGTCAATTCAGGGAATGTAATTTACAATGTCAAAAACATGAGTCTGACATTTCAACACGGTGACTAATTGAGGGACCAAAAGAGAATTTTCCCTATATTTTTATTTTATTGTTGATACTATTTTTTGAAATATAATAATTTAGTTTTGAATGTCAATTCAAGATCTCAAGATCAACCAAACACTTCTATCGAAGTTCGGATTACCGAGTGCTCCAAGATTTAACAAATCAAACTATTAATGATGTGCCATCAAATATCATGCATCCTTCGAGTGTCGTTCTTTCCCATACTGACTTATTAAACACTTACAACGTATGATAAAGATGATGATGGTGTTGATGTTGATGAGGAATACATAGATTATGAAGATCTGAAAAAATTGTGAAAGAAACTTTGTATAGGTTTGTTTTTGTGAAAACCGTCAAAGGTCATTTTTTTATTTCCAATTCATCACTTAAGTCACTATACTAAAAGAATATCGCATGATACGTTTTTAAGAAGGATTTAAATGAATGATTAGAAATAGTAGACATATGTTGACCCTTTTGCCATGCTTATTTGTACTAAATTACTCCTTTATATTTTATCTTATGTTTTGCGTGCCATTAAAAAAATCTTATGTTTTGTGTGTATACTTTTGTGACAGTGGTAATGATAAGTACGTATGCATGGATCCACTATGGTGCATTATTTGGTTCAAAGAAAGGATTGCTCGAGTTTACTTCCATAAAGAATATCTATAATATTCTGTGTTGCACTCAAGATAAAGTCCGGTTACCACATATAAGCTCCACGGAATGTGTTCCAATAGTGCTTCATTCTGACGACGACAGAACATAAGATGACATAAGATAAGATCACAAATGTAATATACAAGGAAGTTTTTTCATAACATACAATTATTATTCGGTGCGATTCAGTTACATCGTATCATCGTAATAATTTAACAACCGAATAATTATTATTTTCGTTTTTCGTGTGCATCGCACATGTATAATAATAGTATAATTGACGGGAACTTGATTAACCAAAACAGTGTTTTAACTTTGGACCGGGAGGGATAAACTAGAACCAAAGACGACCTATATAAACACCGCCACTGCCCTAATTTGATGTGCAATCGGTCAAGCACCTCAAAACCCTATCCCCGTCTCTTCTCAGCGTCTGCTTCTCTCAGATCTGTAGAGAACTTGAAACCTGATAACATGGCCCACAAGAGAAACGAATTCGGAGATGGCGCTAGCCCGGGGTGAGCCTTTATTCGACCACATATTCTACATTGCTTGCCGAGCACCTATTATAGCTTTTTTATTTTGCTCGGATTCGATTAGTTTTTTGATTAGAGATTTATTGTTTTGATGCAGAAAAATCTTCATCGGGGGTCTGGCAAAAGATACAACCTTAGGTTTGTTTTTGGATCGCTTTATTTGGTTCTGGTTGTGAATTTTGATTGTATTAGCGGATGTAATTATAATATTGATTTTTCTTTTGTCTGAAAAGATCAATTTGTGAAGTACTTCGGGAAGTATGGGGAAATTACGGACTCAGTTATTATGAAAGATCGCCAAACAGGAAGACCCAGAGGATTTGGGTTCATTACATACGAAAATCCTTCAGTAGTCGACACTGTTATTGCTGAAACTCATATAATCAATGACAAACAAGTGAGATTCTATTTTACGTTTTTCTTATATTTGTTGTCATCACCAATGGCCTTCCAAAGAGTAAGCTAGGAACCGAAAATAAACTGAATTGGTATAGGAAAATTTATTTGCATCCATCTCCCATACTATGCTTTTAGCTTATTGTTTCACTTCTTACATTTGTCGTTGTTGGTCAGTGTTTTTAAAAGTGACACAGAAGGGGTATATGTATGCACAAAACGACATAAAATGAACAAAGTAATGCTGACCAAGATTTTGTGCCCTCATATTCTGTACTTCCCCAGACGCAAGAATGGAGCAAAAGTTCAACAATTTAAAAGATACCCCTATGCTATAATTACTTTGGGATGAGTTCTTAAGTCCATTGATGACATTAAAATCTCTTAAACTCTCAACCATGTGCCTAATTAATTTTATTAATTTTATTGCATTAGTTTGCTAATATAGATGAAGGCTATTTTCCTTTTTTGAGCATTGTGTCTGTATTACTTCATGGATCTTAGCATCTGACTGAACATGGTTTTGAGATCGCTACAAAATATTCATTTATCTATTTATTCCATACAGGTTGAGATAAAGAGGACTATTCCCAAAGGATCCTCTGAATCTAAGGATTTCAAGACAAAGAAAATCTTTGTTGGAGGAATTCCTACTTCTATGTCTGAAGGTAAAAGCAGTATTTCATCAGCTTACTTGCCTAGTTAATGTAATAAGTATAAGTATTTTGTTTGCACATCATGGCATATCATTTTGTTTGCACATGCACATGTGTTTTCTCATGTTGTGTTATTGTGTGCTTAGATGAGTTCAAGGATTTCTTCTCCAAGTATGGGAAAGTAACTGAACATGAAATCATAAGAGACCATGTGACAAAGAGATCAAGAGGCTTTGGATTTGTTGTATTCGACAATGATCAAGTAGTTGACACAGTACTGGCTGATGGAAATATGATTGATATGATGGGTACCCAGGTGAATTATGCAAGTTTCCTAATTATGTTCACACATTCTGGTCCTACACATAAGATTGTTTCCAATTTTGGGACATAGCTTCTGATGTTAGAATTTTAGTTTCCTCATAGAATAGTTTTTTAAAAATGGAATAGGGCTAGAATTTTGAATGCAGAAATCATATTTTAGTGGTTCAGTGTAGCGTATTGCATTTAGTGCATGACTATGGCTAACATGGCAGGTGAAACACCTAGGTTAACTTGCTTCTTTGTTGTAGGTTGAGATCAAGAAAGCAGAACCAAAGAAACCCTCAAACCCTGCACCTGCTCCTGCTTATGGTAGTAACCCTAGGGGTCGTGGTTATGGAGATAGTTATGGTGGGTTTGATAATTCCTATCCAAGTTATGGCAGTGGAGGTTTTGGCCCTGCCGCCCCTTATAGGTCTTATGGTGGAGGTCTCGGTGGTAGGTTTGGTGATTATCCTCCTATTGGTGGTGGTGAATTTGGGGCTCGCTATGGTGATTACGGTGCTAGTGAATTTGGCGGGTATCGGGGAGGAGAGCCCCCACTCAGCAGCTACTCGAGTCGCTTTGGCTCATATGGGAGTGGTGGCGGCGGTGGCTTTGGTGGTGGGGGTTATGGTGGAGGTGGGCTAGGTGGGTATGGACGTGGAGGTGGTTATGGTGGGTACGGTGGGGCTGGTGGGGCAGGTGCAGGTGCAGGATATGATTCTGGTCCTGGTGCCGGTTATGGTGGACCAGCAGGCTTATATGGAAGTAGGGGAGGCTATAGTGGTGGTGGGCGTTATCATCCATATGCCAGGTAGATGGGTCCTATTAATAAGGCAAGTCTTCACCATAGGAGAGTTCCCATTCAGGTTATTGCATCTTGTGCCCCCAGGTTGAGATTAGATATTCAGAGCACTAAGCAAGGATATGCCGAAACATTGGAAGAACGAACCATTAGTTTGTTTCAATCTACTTGTGTCTTAGATCATTCTCATGTTGTTAGTGTTGTTTTGTCAATTAGTTAGATGTTTCTTATGTTATGAAGGAAGCACGAGTCGTTTAGAACTCACTAAGAGACTTTTTACTGTATTTCTAAGGTGGATTTGATAGACATAAGTACTTTCTATGAAGCTTTTGTGACTTTATTTAGCTACTATATAAGCAGTGTTTGTAAGATTAGTGATCCTGATTTTCAGCACAGAATTAGGCCATTAGATGTCTCCACAAGTAATTTTTTTTTAGTGTTATATATATACGTAGTATGTATCAGCTAGCTGATCACCAAATACTTCAGTGCCAATTCTTTAAACTTGAATTAGGGGGCTTACAAGTGGGACATCTATGTTTTGGATTAGGACTATTACCTAGTAGAAATGTCATCTATAGCTATTACTCTTTCGATCCCAAAATAATGAGTAGTAACATATTTTGTCTTTAGGCTTTGTGCTATTCCAAAATGAAGTTTATTTTCCCTTTCTTTCAAATAATTCTATACACCCTTCATAGATTATCCTTCCTTTTACTTGAAAGTTGAAACCTACAACTTTGTCATTTAAGTATTTCTGTATTCCATACCATTTTCTTGATCTATGAGCTCAAGGTTTCACCATTTAGTAATAAGTAGTAGGCGACCAGTATAATCTATTGCGTTATAATTTGTAATTATTGCATAGTTTTAGGTGTTTTGCTTTTGCCACATTGAGCTGATGCTATCAGCCTTCACTCCACATCAATTTCCCCGTTCTCTAATCTTTTCTGGTTGCAGGGTTGCTCAATACAGCTGATTAAGATTCATGTTGTCTTCAGCCCTAACCCCCACACCCCCCTCCCGATACTTTTTTGTTGAAGATGTATTTTCAAATTTCAATAGTGATTTCTTATTTATGTAATTTTCAAAATATTTAATACTTGTGAAACTGTTTTCAAAATATTGTATGATATTGCCGTAATTTAATTTCATACTGCTCGTGTTGTGGTTCTTTGTTCAAGTTTTTGGGAACGTATTTGGCAAAGATTTTATGCAGTAGTTATCTCAAATCCCACTACCAAGCCACATTTTAAAAGCGTATGTGCCTTGTTAGATCTACTTTATAAATGTGATCTTTCTGTACGGACTTCGTCCCAAATTGTTTTGCAAAGTCAAACATTTTTGGGTCAATCTATATTAAAAGTCAATCCTCCCTATCTATAATTAATTCAATTTTTAATAATTAAAATTTATATATTAGAACTACATTAAAATATCTTCAAAGTTGTAAACTCCAAATTAGAATATAATTAAAATTTGACATTCTAATTAAGCAAATAAAATGAAATTGTTCGATCAAGAAAAGTCAAATTTGCAAATTAATTTGGGACGGAGGTAGTATGATTTACCAAATCAGTATTGTTGCGGAAAGGGTGACGTTCTCTGAAATGGTTCAAACACAAATTTTTTGGTTAAAATTTTGCTCCAGAATTCCAAATGTACCTAAATAAATCTCTTCCAAATTGCAATTTGCAAACAGATTGGTTCAGGGAACTCTTAATACTTGAGTACCTCTCAATCTCTTCACAATTTGTTCGGCAATAAGCCCTAGTTTTAGGGCCTAATGGTGTTTGGAATTTATTCTGTTCCCGTGTCTTTCCGTGTTTAGAGAAAGGGATACCGGCATAGTTGAAGGACATTGAAGGATGAAGATGATAAATATTCGCCATAGTTTTTCTCTCTTTTTATTCTATAACATTTTGATTTTAAAGTTACATTGAGTTTAAATAACAATTTTAAGTTAGTGACGGGCCGATGCGAAATTTATGTGCAACAACATTAGCACTAAATTGCAACACGAGATTCCAAATTATAAAATACTCCTATCCTCAATTTAAGGTTTTTATACAATATCCATTAAGTTAACATAACCCTAGTTTGATATATGAGTTTTATACTTGTTTTTTTGATTTATATTCGAATCCAATACTTTTGATTCAATAAAAAAAATACTACGTATAATGCAATTTCTTAAGGCAGAAGTTTTAACAACAACAAAATTACTAAATTACTAATGTGTATTACTCTCTTCCACAATCAAGTTTCCGTTCACTATTCAACTGTCAATTTAGTTTGCTCCCAATGTTTGATTTTACTTGTGAAATTTACATATAATTGCTTTAAATTTTTGATAAAATTTTGTGAGCATGTTATTTATGAAGTATAGATTATGCCCACAAAATTGCACCTTAAAATTTAATCAGGAAGTCAATTAAATAAATTATTGAAAAACATTGCATTTTTTATATATTATTCTGCATTTTTAGGTCATTTTTTTGAACTTAATCTATACTTCTTGAAAAACACTCACAAAATTTCATAAAACGAATTCCACGGAAAGCACGTAAAATGGAGCCGTGGAGGCGACCGGGACGACAATTCCGATAAGGTCATTTCTCAACTAGAGTACTTCTAGAAAAGATTGAAGTCTATTATTAGTCAAACGTCTCAAATTGAAACAATACTTGTTTATGAAATGAGTGCAGAATATTACGAGAGAATAATTAACTTTATCATGGGAATAATGAAGTACTGCTCTTTATTGAACTATAAGTACTATTCTTCATTCAACTATCAGAGTTTGTTTGGCCTTTTCCCATGAATATTACTAAATTAAATCCAAAAGATAAAAAATGACATATTTTAAATTTTTTCAAAAAGTGACATATTCAGTGATTAGTTATCAGTGACTCATCATCCACTAGTGATTTGTCACTCTGAAATACACAATAGTCACTATCTCTTGCGCAGTTACTCGTACACAGTGACTACTGATTAGTAATATTTTTTCCAAAAACGTAACTAGTCATATTTTTGTCCGGAAAAACTCTTTTAATAATATTCATGTCTATTTTTGAGTTTTTCATATAATAATATTATTAAAATAAAATCCACGGATCAAATATGACTACATGGTTAATATGAAATATCAATACTGAAGTGTATAGTAAAATAAAACATCACATGATATTTATTATAGTAACAAAAAGTACCATTATTGTACAGTAACAATATATAACCATATGGTCACTACATTTTTAAATATAATAATCATTACGGAGTATTTTTTATGAAACATTTTGTGTATTGTCAACATTATAACTTTATAAGGCATTAGGCGATATTGAATGAAAAATTTAGGGCTTGTTTGATGCATGTTGAGACAATATTAGATAAAACGACAGAAATTAAACCCATGTGTTGAAATGTTGAATGTGATTATGTGAATATGGTTGCCCTCTAAATCTATGTCTTGCATCAATTGGGTGTGTATTGAGTGGACATTGTTATATTGTATAGTCAACACTCGAAAATTGTTTTGTGCAATAATGAAAACTATAAAACAACCCTCCTTCGTATACACGCTAGTTGTACACGTCATTTTACACGTTCAATTTGTCTGCGTACATGCATTTTCTTTCATTTTGTGAAGAGAACCGGTTTTCGCACTGACCAATTTTTTTTGTCAGTAAGAGATATTTTCTTTGTCGGTATGAAAAACGATTCTTTTCACAAAACGAAAAAGAATTGTATATGCATAGACAATTTGACCGGTGTGTAAAATAACGTGTACGACTTGGCGTGTACAAATTAAACAACATTTCTCATTATAAAATGATTGGAATGTGAGAGCCTTAGCTTGATGTGCCATAATTTGATATTTTTTTTGGTCCACACAACATTACCCCATTTATACTACACAAAAAGCATGCTACCAGAAGAGATTACATGACCAAAAAATGATATCAGAGACCTGCACAAACCTCTGAACAGAATCAGAAAATTAAGGAACTATGAACCAATTCTTTGAAAACCAAAAAAAAGAAAGAAAGAAAAAAGAAAACAACTTAAAAAAGAAACTTACCAACCCAAAAAAAAAGAAAGAAAGAAAAAAGAAAACAAAAAAGAAACGCTCATAGCCTTTTGGAAAATCATTGTTGCCTCTCCCCATTTTTTGTGCTCACCAAATTCAGGTAACACAATGAAGAACCAGTTTCCAATTATTTGTTTATTCTCATATTTGTAAAATAATAATCTCATTGTTAAAATTGATTTTATAAGGGTTGTTTGTTCCTTTGCTTGTTTGCGTTTTCTGGATTTGAAAGTCTGATGTATAATTATGATAAAGATGAAGAAAAATGAAAGCAGATTGATACAACAAGATGAAATCAATAGGCATCTGCGGCCAAATTAAACAAAACCACAGATTGATAACATGCGTACGTTGATCCAAACAGGCACTTCATATAATATACTACAAAATACCTTTGTGTCCGGTAATCTAATTTCCATTTTTTACGTCCAAAATTTCATTCTAATTTTCATAAAGGCAAGGCAAACTTTTAAGGAAGAAACAAATATTACTAAGTTTATATGCTAAGAACTGAGTTCCATCCTAGGTAAACCTAGTAGAAGGAATACAAGAAGTAGATCAAAATCTTATACTCCTTATATATTAAACTACTCTACTCCTTGCGTCCCAAAATGATAGTCTACTTTTTGGGTTGAAATATTAAGGTGTGTTAAAGTCCCCATATACCCTTATTTTATTGTACTGTTTTCACTCTTTTATTTTTACTGTTCATACAAGAGAGGACATAAATGGTAATTTACTTTAATTTCTTTACAAAAAACGGAACAATACCATCATTTTGGGACAAACCAATTAGAAAATATATGACCATCATTTTGAGATGGATGAAGTAGTTCATATTTTATTGATGTTGGATGTGCTAACATTATATCATTCTTCACGACTATAAAATGATAATGGAAAAGGATATCATTGGAAATTTGGAATTCAATGAAAGTGCATTGTCATTGAGACTCCACACTTATTTAATTACTCAGAAGATATTGCAAATGAGCGTGTGTGATATATATATATATATATATATATATATATATATATATATATATATATATATATATATATATATATATATATATATATATATATATATATATATATATATAAAGACTTAGATACTCCACCAGTTCCAAAATGAAGCTTACTTTTTGACTCTTGAATTAACATATTCACAGCATCCATTTAGCATCAAACTCAGATATTTTGATGCTAAAATGTGAATTATTATGTAACTAATTATCGTCATATGTCATGGTTTTCCTCTTATTTTATATCAGGATAGATGTTCATTGAATAGCTTAAAGCAGGACCATATAGACAACAAAAATGGAGGCTGATGAAGGAAGCACTCCAAATTATCACACAAGCGGAAATGATGGCTTTATCATAACACCGTGCGGGGTTATCATGTCCATACTTATACCCATACTACTTTCAATGGCACTTGAAGAGAGGAGAAAGACAAAGAAGAGAGGAGTTCATGTTAAAGCTGGGGGCGAGGCGGGAATTTCAATGCGCAATGATAAGTTTTCTAGACTTGTTGAAGTTCCATGGGAAGGGGCCACGACTATGGCAGCTCTATTTGAGCAGTCATGTAGAAAGCATTCGCATACACGTTTCCTCGGAACAAGAAAAGTAATTAGTAGGGAGTTAGTTGGGTTGAGTGAGGGAAGAAACTTAGAGAAAGTTCACTTAGATGAATATTTGTGGGAGAGTTACAATGAGATATTTGGTCGCGTTTGCAACTTTTCATCCGGTCTTGTTCATTTGGGTCATGATGTGGAGACTCGTGTTGCTATCTTTTCTGAAAGTAGCCCCGAGTGGTTGATTGCCTTTCAGGTAGTTAGTTAATCTCTATTTGTATGGTTTCTTTAGCTATGTGTTGACAGTCATTTTAGAAGGTTGATGTTTTGTTGTTGTTGTTTTCTATTTTATTTGCTTCAGGGTTGTTGCAGACAAAATATTACTGTGGTGACCATTTATGCTTCTTTAGGGGATGATGCTTTTGTGTACTCACTAAATGAGGTGGGCATAGTTTAATGGACATTATCTAGCATTCAAAAACTCGTTATTCTATTCAGTTAGGACTGTCGATTCAATACATTTGTGAAGACTTAAGGTTTAATTTTCAAAGCTCAGCCTTTAGTCTTGTTCTATGTGGTCCTGGAAGTGCTGAAGACTTTGTCCCGTATCGGCTAAATATGAAGCAACAGATGAACATAAAAGTTTTTAGCTACTCTTCATGGTTGAACTTATAAGAATGAAACCTCAAATCTTATACGGAACAGTATTTAGAAGTTTCATTTCATACTTCACAATGACCAGTTACACACACTTGACTATCCAATGGTTCAAAATATTTACCAGATGTATTCCAATAGTTATTTTTGTTTAATGGAATTTGTGATTTGTTAGACTGAAGCGACAACACTGGTTTGTGATATCAAACAACTAAGAAAGTTGCGTGCAATCAGTTCGAGTTTGAAAACAATAAAAAACATCATTTACTTTAATGATGATGACGATGATGAGATTGCAAGTGATCTCAACATCTCTGGCAAGTGGACTGTGTCGTCTTTCTCTGAAGTTGAAAGAGTTGGTGAAAGTAGCCCCGTTCATCCTAGATTACCCATCAAGAGTGATATTGCTATAATCATGTACACCAGTGGTAGCACACGATTGCCCAAGGTAAGTATTTAGACATTTAGTCATCCCAATTCGAACAAACATAAAAAATAAATGAACTAGCATATTATTGAGTAACTCCTCATATCAGGTTAAACCTTCCCACAACAAATAGATGCAAAATACAAACCAATATGTAAGACATTAAACTACTCTTATATCAGGATGACCATTTGATTGTCTGTGATATTATAGGGAGTTATGATAACTCATGGGAACATTGTAGCCACAACAGCTGCAGTTATGAGTGTGATCCCTAATCTTGGACCCAAAGATGTGTACTTGGCATACTTGCCTCAAGCTCAAGTCTTTGAGTTGGCTGCGGAGGTGACACCACTTTTAAGTTTTAACATAAATCATCATGTCTTTCTTTAATAAATGCTCCCATGATCTAAATGAGTTGTTGCCGTAGAATGTGATGTTGGCTGCAGGAGCTTCTATTGGTTTTGGATCACAATCGACGTTAATGGATACATCCAAGAACATCAAGAAAGGAACTCGGGGAGATGCATCCATGTTAAAGCCTACACTAGTGGCCGCAGTTCCCGCTATTCTAGATTGTCTTAGGGAGGGAATAGTGCAGAAGGTGTTAGGCTCTTATCTAAACTTAATCATCATGGATTGATTATTCAGTTGGTTTTTTTTTTTAAAGTTACTGATGTTTTAGGTTGAGGAGAAGGGAGGCAATATTGAGTCACTTTTCAACCTTGCATATAAGCGCAGGCTGGAAGCTTTGGAGGGAAGCTGGTTTGGAATATGGGACAAGCTCGAAACTCGATTGTGGGATAAACTAATTTTTAAAAAGACACAAAAAGTTCTTGGAGGAGAAATTCGTCTCATGCTTTCAGGTGGAGCTCCTTTGTCTGAGGATACACAACGATTTATGAACATATGCATTGGGTAATACTTTGGGCCTTTTACCTGTATATGATTTCTTCTAATGCCCGGTAACCAGTTTAGTTAGATGCATGTAAGTTTATAAATGCATAATTCGATTAGCTAGTTTAGTAAAAACTTATAAGCTAATATGTTTATGAGAGTTCTAGTTTTTTAACTCAATTATTTCATCTTATGAAGTTTGAGACATGAAGAGCATCTGTCATAGATCATTTCCATTATGATTTTTTACATATATTTGTAGTGTTGAACTTTTTCCATCATTTGCAATGAAGCCAAAGATTCATTATTTTTTGGCTTGAGATTATGATGGAATAAAGCAAAATGGCTCACTAAACTGTCTGCGTTTTTTTGTTATGAAGCAGCAGTCAGTCCATGCAATTTTGGACGGGATTTTCACTATGGGTCATCCGGAAACAATCTCTCTGTGCTTTAGTACAGGGGTAAGACTGCGTACATCCGACCCCCCTTACCCCACCGTAGGTGGGAGCCTTTGCGGCACTGGGGTAAATGAAAATGATGAATGATTTGTAGTGTTGAACTAATGTTATATCATTAAGTGGCACTGATACTTTAATTTCATCCAAACCAGAAATTTGAGATTGAGGTGGTGATAATGATAATGACTCTTAAATCTTAACAAAACGCATGATGCATGTTTTTCGGATAAGAAGTACAACACATGGTTCTAGCACACATTTCCATCATTCTCCCATATATTAAATGCTTATTTTTGAGAATGAATGTTTGTGATTGTTTGCAGAGCTCCTATCGTCCAAGGGTATGGCTTAACAGAAACCTTTGCTGGAGGTACTTTGTCTGGCTGGGATGATACCTTTGTGGGGCATGTTGGCCCACCTCTTCCTTGCACCTACATAAAGGTCTGGCTACCAAGGCTCATAATACATATATCCCTTGTTTGGCTCAGAAGGGGAGGGGGGGGAGGAGGAAAACGAATGTGGTTTTAAAAAACATTTCATTGAATGTAGTGGGGTTTGTATTATGCCAAAACTTGTCAACAAATGGTATTTGATATAACTTTTGTATTAAAAGAAATTAAGAAGGAGTTTTCATATAATATTACTGAAACTCATGAGAAAATATACCAATATCATCACTACAAGAACTACGAAAATACTACCCTGGTCACTGCATGAAACAGCAGAATACCGCAATTATGTCTGTAGTCCAAAATACCACTGTGATTATTATGCAGTAAAAGTCACATACTTTATCTTACTTATATATTTGTCAGTTATGAGGAGTTTTAGGGGTTCAAAACCTCATCTGCTTTGCTCTTCCCTAATTCCCCTCATCAAAACATGCCCAATGTTACCACCTTTTCTCATTGAGTTAAATTGCAGCTTGTGTCTTGGAAAGAGGGTGGTTACAGAATAACGGACAAACCGATGCCGCGGGGAGAAGTTGTAGTTGGTGGATGTAGTGTTACTGCTGGATATTTCAACAATGATGCGGAAACAAATGACACCTACCATGTAACTACTTATTCATTTAGGCTTTGATGAGCAAAAACTATGGCAAAATTACATCTTTTATACTCCGTATTTTTTATACTTGAATGATACATTAGGTTGACGAGAGAGGAATGCGATGGTTTTATACCGGTGACATTGGAAGGTTTCGTCCTAATGGATGTCTTGAAATTATTGATAGAAAGAAGGATATTACAAAACTCCAGCATGGTGAATATATCTCACTTGGAAAGGTACTACTAAAGGAAGTTCTTTTTATTTTTGCCCCCTCCAATCTCTTGCGTAACCTTGATCTAACGGGCTACCCCTAAACCATGGGTTCCAAACAACATCACAGTCATACCTAGTTTAGATACTACATACAAGAAGAGCAACTGACAGTTTTATATATTAATTTAATACTATACACTTGGCCTATATGGCATACTTCAAAAATTTCAGTTACTAACTTATATGTGACACTTCCTCAAAAATATATACATGATCTCATACTTGGTAAGTTACAGGTAGAGGCAGCTCTTAGGGCAAGCAAGTATGTAGATAGCATAATGGTGTATGCAGACCCCTTCCACAACTATTGCGTAGCTCTAGTCGTCCCCTCCCGTGAAGTCCTTCTAGACTGGGCAGATGACTATGACATCAGATGTATAAATTTTTCCTCTTTGTGCGACAACATAGAAGCGATAAAGGAGGTCCTACAATCGCTATATGAGGTTTGTGTCCTATATCCAAGGCATACTTATTTCTGGAAAACTTTATGTGTAAGATCTCACACCCTTGGGGGACCCTTAAGAGTCCAATGTGGGACACTACAACTTGCATTGAAGTGTCATGAAAAGTGATTGTTAACAATATGCAGGTAGGCAAGGCTGCAACATTGGACAGGTTGGAGATTCCTGCAAGGATCAAGTTGTTACCAGATCCATGGACTCCTGAATCAGGATTGGTCACTGCAGCTCTTAAACTAAAGAGGGAAAAGATTGTGGCCAAGTTTAAAGAGGACATTCATAAATTGTACTCCAACTAAACCGACACTATCTGCATCACTCCTTTTTTCTCTGCATATGATTGCATTGTTTTCCGAAACAAATGTAGAGTTCTAAACTGGAACTGTTTCTATTGTTTTTGTCTTTCCAGAAATAATTTTTCTTGTATAAATAGAACAGGAGTGCCAGTTCTATCCCTTTTTCATATATACTTGTTACACTTTCTTTTTGAAAGTTTGTTATTAAACGACATAAATATCTTTTACTTTTTTTTTGTTCTGGGTGCTCATTCTTATACACTAGTCACTACCCTTGTAACTTCACTCTTAATTTTTGTAAAAAAGTAAAATTGAACAAAGGGGTACCCTTGCATCTAGTTACAGAAAAATACGTATTATTATACTACGTATTATAAAATTATACTCCCTCCGTCCCATATTTATCTTCGTAGTTCGGTTTACGATGCTTGACTGACGATAAAGCAACTTGATCCCTGTTCACACTCAGATTATTTTTAGTAAATTAAATTTACATATTCAGAAACTACATTAAATCCGCTACAAAGTCTGATCAAGAAAATTTAAGTTTGATAAAAATTTGATATATAAAGTAAAAGATTAAGAGTAATTTGAGTTGATCATGTGAATAGTAACTATGAAGATAAATATGGGACGGAGGGAGTAATCTATAATGACTACTAAATTTAGATAAAAAGTTTGAAAGAATGACTAATATTCAAATACTAGTCACTACCCTTGGGCCATGGTCACAATCCATTGAACCATCAGTAATTTAATCATATTTTCATCTATAAGATTTATTTCACTAATTCTTTAAGAAAAACTCAAAAAGTTAAGGACTAACTAATAGACATGGGGCAGCACATCCCCAAATACACAACTATATTGAACTGAAGAATCTGTAATAATATTTGGTATGGTTAGCGTAAAACTGTTGATGGAGTATATTTCCATATACCGATAAACAACATTTACAGATAAACAATCTCTTGAAATCACTAAATCATTTAGTGATTTCAAAATTGTGGAATATACTCTAGGGGTATCACTATTTACAAATAAACAATCTCCTGAAATCACCGAGGCTGAGCCAGCGCCCACTGAGGTCAATTCCCAAATCAGTTCTCAGATCATCAAAATAAGCCCAAAACTACAACCGAAGCTGAGCCCGCGTTCGCCAAGGTTGGTTCTCAAGTTGGTTCCCAAATCATCAAGATATGCTCAAAACTGTATCCTAGGCCGAGCTCACCACCCAAAGTCAAATCCAAAGTTCACGCTAATACCGAGCTTGAGATCAACTAGCACCTCATATAGTCAAAGAACTAAAAGGAGCATTGATTACTTCACGTAAGCAAACTGAGGTCACACTCCTCTTAAATCAATACACTGCCCCCAGGCCCAACTGCAAAGAGCACGTGATCTCAAGAAAGATTGTGGACTTAGCTATTTTCAAGTACTCAAGTTCTGCACTGGAAAATGCAATTACGTCATCAGCATGACAACTGTCCAAAGCTGAAGTCACCCAGGCGGTTACACACAGAAGGTTCTAAGCTTACACGTGTGACTTGCTTACGTAGTCCAGTACAAAGGGAATCAATACGGTTATCCACGATACCAATCAGCCAGCTGTACGCAATCTCTTACCAATCAAACTTTACACGTGTCCTTATATTATTAGACCAGCATATTTTTACTTGTTGACCAAGTATTTCATTTACACTAAATATCACCTTCCCACTTGTAAAAAGGGATCACCATTCTTGCGCACAAGCTTACTTTTACTCTACCAAAATTTCTAATCAATCTATACTTAGCACTTTTCAATCTATACCCCCTGGTTTTCCGCTACCCCTAGGGTCTGTAAAGCATCAACTATAAATACAACACATATCCAACTCAAGAGCACCAATAAAGGGTTTAGGCCCAAAGAACAAATCAAACGAAGAGGATAAAGGACTGGGTGCAAGTATACATGTGGGCTAAGACCCTTCGCATTCCATAAGAACCAAATCAATGTCTTACTCAATAAGGACCATTCATCTGTTTTTAATTGGACTATAATTTTCTAATCTACTCTGATCAAAGTAAACTTTATGTTTATATTAATATTATATAAATTCAATCTGATTTAATCTGAACCTGAAATCAATCTAATTAAAAATATTCCCAATACTTAATCTTGATGAACGCAGGATTCATTCGAATATTCCCCAAATTGACATGAGCTAGGTTTTTTAATGGTGGTTTAGTGCCAATTGTGTGACAAGTTGACAACATAGGTTCTCTATGCACGATCTCTATCTAGGTGCAAAAATGCTTGTGAAAAATGATAAATCTAAAATTAAATATATCGTACTAATCATTATTTTGCACATCAAGGAAAATTCAATGGAGGGTAGATCAAGTTAAAAATTGGGCACTATAAACCCATATCAACATAGAACTTTTTTTTTTGGCAAATATCAACATAGGACTTAGAGAAAGAATATTTACATATTACTAATAAAGAAGCCAAGTCATACAACAATTGAATCCCCAAGATCAGATAGATTCTATGATTAGACATAGAAATTACCAATTGCACAAAGAGCAAATAGAATTTTTAATCCATTTTTTCTTTTGGACCGAAATTTGCTGGTCTAATCTGTTTAAATATGGTCTAATCTGATTTAATCTGAACTGATCTGGTAAATATCTGGTCTTTGTGTATTTACTAATACGTATTTTATAACTGTTCAAGTTTAGTCTGGTCTGAGACTAAACATAATTCAAAAGAAAACATCCTCAGGAGACTTAAGTTCCATCTTGGCTGGTAAAACCCTAATACTCTTTCTGTACAACCAAAAGCCAATCATTAATGCTAAAAATGAGTCCAAACAGCATAACACACACCAACCAACAACAAATCAACAATAAGCAAGAAATTGGCCTTGCTTTGTCCGCCTGAACTCATAAAAACCCAATCAGCCATGTGATGTTTGTCCAAACTATTTAGCTTCTACAGCCATTTCAACATTCTAAAATTCTACCCAACTGCCTCTTCCCCATCCCGTGGTGATGATGGATTAGGAAGGGGACCCGCCATTGTTGTCACCATACAAGAAGTGAGAAGCATCATTACAATGAAGCCATTAAGGGAAATATATCCATGACTAATAAATTGACAAGAGGGAACATGGTCATCTGCAACAAAAACAACATGCTATTCTATAGAAAATGAGAAGAAAATGCCAACAAAATAACTATCAAAACCCGTAGAAGAAGACTAAACGTTTTGAGTTTTTTGAACCTTTAAGAATGATTTTAACAGCTAGATAAGACTTCATTTATGTTGTTTTCAGTTTTCACAACCAATAAATAGGGAGAATAAGCTTTTGTATCATGTGTTTACTTAAAAATTGGATGCCACATTACACATAATGGTTTTCAAAGGAAAAACAGAAGGGCCTGGTGTAAACTCAGTAAAAAACACAGGATGTACGCTCCAAATTAATTTGATGTGAAGATTTGGTGTAAAAGCCAAAACTTGCACATTAAAAACTTATTTCTCTCTTTTGAGATGGGGCAATAGTATAGTACTCCACTATTCCGTACAGATTATTGGCAGCAAGTGAATGATATCCACTATGGAAAAACATACAGCTTAGTTGGAGCTCTCAACATACTGCAAATATGATAGAAATGAAAAGATAAAAAAGAAAAACAGATCCGGAGCAATAAATAGAACCCTAGCACTTCCTCTCAGCAAAATGAAGACAAAATTCCAGCACGACCATAATAACTGCTTAATAGTTAGAGCTCCCATCTGGTCTCGTGGAGGAGAGTGTGTGCTCATTCTCATTCAGCAGAAGAATGCATGCAGCAGAGCCATTTCTTCTACACAAGCATTATATTGAATTGAATCCATCAACTTTGCTTGGTAATCAGTTATTCATCAAAATTAAAATACACAATGTATACAATATACATGCATGTATATATATGGAAGATTCTGGATCAACTTAAAAGCCTCATTCCCATGAAAAGTAAGAATGCAGTTGGTGCATCGGATCTAAGATCTAATGACTCTAAATATGTCAAAAATGCATTAAAGTGGATCAAAATGCGGTGACATTTTTGTAAATAAATCGATAATTTTCTTCTTTGCAAAAAGTGGACCGAAAATGATGAAAAGTGGATGGCAAAAATAATCAGAATGCAAGTGTACCTCAAATGGTCAAAAGTGGAATCGTTCGCATTTTGTACAAGAAGACTACCTTTTATTGGAACCGGACCCATATATTTAATATGTATGGAGTATATACTTATTGATCCAAGGGAATAATAAAAATGGCTACTCTACTACTATGTCACATGTGCATGCTATCATTTTCATTCTTTTATATGTGGCACTTGTAGTTCCATCTTTTAAATTCAATACATTCAACTACTTCAGCCAAATTTACCCCCACCCCACCAAACGCATCATGGAGCTTGAACAAAGAAATGCATACAAAAACATAAAGGGGCAAGCTAAGTAATGGAAAAGACTCACTGATTGAGGAGGCTTTCCAAGAGTAGCTTCTCCACGTTTATTATTATATGCAGAAGAACCTCTCTTTGGTGGGGAATCTGAAGGATTGTAACCAGATGATCTTTTCTCATTTCTAGCTTTGTTGAAAATCACTGTGAACCCATCTGCTGATGCTGGATTGTTCACATCCCACTCCCCAAACTTTGGCAATGCTCGTCCTTTTTCCTACGCCCACAATAATTACTGTACAATATTAACTTCAAAGTAAATCTTGCAGTGGGGAGCCCTTAATTTAAGACCTTGTTTGGTTGGAGGGTTTTGAAGGGAAGGGATGTAAAGTGGAGGAGTGCTTTGTGTTTGGTAGGGCGAATTAGAGGGAATAGGAGGAAAGTGAATGAGTTAAAACCCACTTCTCCGAACTCCTCATATCTCAGTCTCCCAGTTTGGGGTATTCTGGAGGATTCATATTTTCTTCTTAATTATTTATATTTCATATTTTTGTAGTCAGATTTTTTCTACATTATACGGAGTAGTTGTTATAAATGTAAATGAAACTATCATCTTAGCTATGTTATTACTTATTAAACATAGCTACCTTCCCCTTGTATAGATATAAGATTATGACATTTTAAAAACAATAAAAATGACAGCCAATATTATACTATACCTGGTGGCCTATTTGGATGGTCCTAACTTGCAAGTATAATGAATCCACATCCATTTTTTCACTCACAAGATTGTCCATCTTGAGAACCATAAAAAATTTTTAT